GGACAAGCTCGTCAAAAGTTTGCGCAAGATAGCTAGTCCGTAGAGACACGGACCAGCTGAAGCAAGGCAACCCTGAGCTAGCAGCTGCATTTCCGTGCATGGCCTCGACATGATGGCGGCCACAGCAGACGGTGGGTCTGGCCAAGCTCGCGTGAAATGGCCGGCAACAGACTCTGCAGGCAGGCTGCTCGGCACGATTCGTGAGACTAGCTCGGTCCAGAAGAGCTAGTCGAAATTCTTGGGGTGCGAGCCAATTGTCACTATGCTTTAATACTTATGCGCATCGCTATCGAGTCCCGGCTCGGTGAACTCATCGTGTCCTGTCTCGGTAAGTACATCAGGAACCGTCATGTTTGTCCGAAGTTTGAGCCCTTCAAGCATCTCCATCACCAATGGCCCTTGCATCTGGCCTTGCATGGGTGGGTCTAGGCCCGAGTTTCCTGTACAAATACAGCGCCAAAGTCTGCAGAATTCGACATCGCGTTTCGGGCTATCGAGCGCTAGCGACGCAAAGTCGCCACCACTTGTTCTGTGCCTGGCTTTCCACCCCAAGCCCGGTCCCACCACGATCTCGTTCCGAGATGCGGCTGACGCTGCAGGGTCCAGCTCCACGCCAAGCAACAGGCGAAACAGATCAGCTTTCGGAGATTCGGCAGTTGGCTAGACCCGCTGTCTCTCCCCATGCACAGCAGAATCGAGGGCTGCGTTGAAGCAGCGGCTCACTCTGCTCTCATCTCGAACTTGCTCTGCGCATTGCTGAACGAGAGGGGCTCGCGTCCACTCGCTTGATCGATTAGGCACGGGGAGATACGTCGCAACTGCGGTTGAGCAACGGTTGCGACAATGCGAGACACGAATGAGCTTGAGCCTGAACAAGGGTAATCCAAGCCACCCCACGTCTCAGGGTGCCCATCGAGTTGGACTCCTACTCCGGCCTATTCAGCTCAGTACCACCATTTCGGGTCGCAAAAGCTAAAGCACAACGACCGCGGCTTTCAAGGCCAGAGATGAAGCTGATGATGCAGCTTCTTTCATGACGTGGGTGCCGTCATATCACCGGAACTACTGCTCCAAAGACGCTTCGACTTCACCTTTCGACGTTGAAAGGCTTGCTATATGGAACTCATCCGGTGCATCTGTGACGCATGCTCGACTTCAACTATCACTACCAGCTTGGCAGGAGAATCGT